GGCTTTAGCCCTCTTCGCTGTGCCGCTTCAATCCACCTTGGCTAAGCCCGCTTCGCCTGGCGCCAAAAAATCTAAATGATGGAGACGGGACGTCCCGCGCTCACACCCCCGCTTCGTCCGACCGGAGCCGCGGGAAGGTCCCGGGAAAGAGGGTGAGGACAGGCCCGGTGCTGCAGTCACCCTCCCTGACTGTGCCAGGTGGCGGGGCCGCCATCTGTCCCCCGGGGCTGAGGGCATTAGCAGAGTGTCCAGTGCCACCCCTGTGCTCCTGGAAGGGCTCTCTGCCTTCGCTACCTCACAAAACGGCGCTCCAGTATTTATAGCTCCTCAGGCTGCGGGCATGGGGTGTTTTGGGATATGTACTAACTGTCTAACAAATGAAATCAGCTGAGAAAATTGCAGAACAGAGCTACTTATAATTATTTCTGTAGTGGTTTTCAAAGCTGTGATCTCTGACAGATGATCTGAGGAAGCAGGGAGTGCTCTTTGAAAGATCTAGTACCGGAAGAAACTGGGGAGAGGGGAAGGTGGGGGGTATGGGGAAAGATAGGAGGTGGGCATCTGAATGTGAGGTGGGAGAAAGAGCCAGTTAGGGTGGCACATAATTCACAGGAGAAGCACTTTCACCGAGGTCCCTGGAGCCAAATCACAGGGGAGCACTGAGGCACTATAAATTAAGTGGGAACTCATTGCTAATTCAGAGTAGAAACATCATCTTTATTGACCTTAATTCTAGACAAAGAAAACAATGATAAACCCAGTGGAAATCCTGTCCTGGGTGATAAACTTCTGCCCTCTGAAACAGATGCCTGTTCTGCTGCTCTCTCCCTGTCTCTATTATCTCTTCTTTCCTTCACCTGTGATCACATTTTTGAGTCATGTTTTTCTGAGAACCGCAGAATATGAGTTGCATGAGGAGAAAAAAGCACAAAGTCCAGTATGGACTTGCCAAGAGACCTTTTCTTTTGTGCCGTGACCAGAGGGACTGGGGGAAGTTTGTCAGTTTCTGAAGCTGATGCAGATAGAAGCATTTTCTCAATGAGAGAGACTGCATTGCATTGATCTTTGCCATATTGCTTTGTGTTTTAGTATCCAAACTGGGATCTAGCGGTCATCTGTTCCACTTGTCAATACAATGAGCTCCTAGGTGATGAGCTATTCTCACATTTTTGAACGATATCAAAGTCCATGAAGATTCCCAGGTATTTTCTTTGTGGAGTGAGGTCCCAGCTTAGCCTTCCAGAGTGCCTGCCAAGGTATATTTGCCTGCTGCCCTGTCTTTCTGGTGGCATCCCCCATCCTGCCTTCTGACTGGGCTCTGGTTGTCCTGGGCTGCTCGGGTTGCTTTCATTCATGCCCTCCCTCATTTCCTTCTCTTTGCAGAGGCACGGCTGGGTCTCTGACAGGCAGACCATGTGAGTGCACTCTGCCCTGTAATCCAATAGGACATGTGCACTGTGCGTGCTACAGGCTGGGCCTTATGTATAGCGAAGGCCTCTGTTTTCGGTCCAGAAGGCTGATTAGGAGAGACACGGTGCAAAGAGAGAGCAGTGTTGTGACAGAGCCCTGTCCTGCTTCATTTCACGTAGGATATTGCCTTTAGTTCCCTGTTGTTGGTTTGGAGGATGCACGGAGCAGCCCTGAGCCACCGCAGCTCCCTGCACAGTCACTGTCTGTGTTAGTACAAGCCGTGTGAGTCTGGTCAGGCGTCATGGTGTGCTGAGCTGACAGCACAGGACTAAAAGGTTACAACATCTTCACATTTGTCTTCCCACCTCCTCACTCCCATCCTCTGCCAGCTTTGCTGTATTGATTCCAGCGTCAGTGAATTAAGAAACTGTCGCAAGCAATGGTGAGTTATACAGTCAAGGTGGGAAAGAACTGTCTCCTAAGAAAAGATCTGAGAGAGAAAATGCTATTTAAATTGAAGAGTGGGTCAAGAGAGCTGCCAGGAGAGAGGATGGATGTCTCTCCTGCAGACTTGGAGAGACAATGTGGCCTCAGGATAGCTTATCAAATAGAAATTATGAAGGACAGAGAATACGAGGACAGAGGGAAATAACACATTAGAGATAATTTATAAAGCAGTTTGAGAAATTTGGATAGAAGATTCTTTATCAACGTAAGTGTTCATCAATGATCGTTCAGTAAAGTGGTGATGCTAGGGAGGTGCAGGAGGAATTCTGAGGTCTCCTTTTCCCAGCTCATGTTTGTTACGTGTGGTAGCGTGCATGTGAAGGGGTTATTCCCAATCAGTCCGGGTTGGTTTTATTACCATTTTAGTTCATGATTTGACCTTTTACTACAGGCTTGAAGATCTAGACCCTCATTTTAGATTTATATGGCATTTGTAATCTCCAGATTGTGGGTTAGATTGCATTTGTATTGTATAGAATTAATTGTGCTAATAAGCTGCAGTAGACATTGTGATTAAAGCATATGTTTTATTGTATGCAGCCAGCTCTTAGAGTTTGTATGTATTTTCTATAATTAAAATTACCAGCAAATGTGTTTGCTGAAAAAACATATATCAGTTAGTGAATCCTTGCACTCTTTTTAGGAAGCATGTTTCCATTTTATAGATGAGGAAACTGAGGTACAGGGGGATTAAACGATTTGTTCATAGTAAATAGCTGTCAGTCTGGAGATACAGAGCAAGGACATAATGTGAGTAGAGGGAACCAGCGTATTAGTGCATATTGTGTTGGAGTATCGGTCTTGTATGTTGCTCACGCATAAGGTAGCCAAGTAATTACATGCTGGAGTAAAATTAGGATGCACTGGTACTCCGTCCTTGTGATACCACAATTTGATCTTCCCTGCGTAGCCAAAATCATTATTTTTGCTTCCCCCTGGAAGCACGGAACTGAATTTGCCATCAGGTGCGGTATCAGAGTTGGGGGTGACAACCACATTTAGTTCCACTGTATGCACATTGCATCCCCAGATAACCCCGCAGTCGAAAGTACAAAACAATCTGGCTAAAATTAAAACTGCTTCTTAAATCCTCTGTCTGATGTTGCCTGAAGCTTTTTGTTCAGTTTATCTTCACAAGGTCACTGAGACAGAAGAGTGCATTCTCTGAGCATGTTGGCCTGGAGCCTTTCATGCAGATGCTTTCATTTAACATTTGGGACATTCTCCTTCTCCCTTCGATCCGTTCCTTTTTACTCCCCCATTTTATATATCTCTCTACTCTCCCCTTTTGACCTTAGGATCCCTCAGATCAATACATGTAGGAATAGACGTTACCCTTCTTTATCATCTTAACATGTAATCACTAGTCATAAGCTTTCTGGGCACCCAGGCTGTCACGGGCCAGAGACTGCTGGTCTGCCTGCCAGAGCTGCCACGCATGCTGCCTGCAGCAATGCCCTCATCTTTGCTGTCATCCTGCCACGTGGAATATTTGTCTTACAAAACCATGTGTTTGAAGCAAATTCTGCTTCTGCCTCTTTCAGTGGCTTGCAGTGTGATCTTGGACTACTCACTTAAGATCAAAATGGTAAATTCACATTTCTCTGATTTTTTTTTTTAATAGTCGAGAACAGGAAATTTCACTTCAGATTAATAGTGACTGAGTGCTCCAAGGAAATTTCACTTCAGATTAATAGTGACTGCGTGCTACAGGAGACATCCCGAGTGTTGTAAGGTGAGCTTCCGTTAAGACATTGAAAATTGGAAGCCACTCTGGAAGATTGAAGCCAAAGTTTAAGATCTGATAAAGGGCATAAGTGTCTATGAGTTTGGCATGTGCTGCCTAGAATGAACACAGAATCAGGCGTCTTCTCTTCCTGTGCAGCAAAAACAAGTGTGAGAGAAGAGCTGTGCAAAAGGGCTTTGTGCCAAGTGAGAAGCTGGCCCTAAATTTTCGAGCTTCATTTTCTCCACCTCTGCAATGGGAATAATTGCAAATACTTTACTCATAGATAAATGTTAAAAATTAGTAAAATGTCCACTCCAATGTTGTTAATTATCAAATATAGTAAAACTGCTTCTATATACGAGAGATCTGTAGGCAGCACACTTTTCATTTGCAGCAAGCTGCTGCAAGAAGAAAACAGTTGTTTCCAAACTAGCTAATTACATTAAGGCAAAAACTAGATTATTAGTTCAGATAGTTCAGGATTCTCTTTTCTCTTTCCTTTCTGCATTAGGGAACACAGACTGAACAGTAGGCCACATAAGTTACTATGTAATCTGCTGTGTAAAAACCCCATATTTAATACCTCCTTAACGGGGATGTTAAGATGGATTAATTATTCTTTGTTCTGGTCTCTGAAGATAAAGGGTAATTACTATTAATTATGTGTAATTGAAAAATTGTTCCTTCACAAAGAATCCAATAGCATTAGTGGGATTTTAACTTCTTGCTACCTATAGGGAGGCGTACAACATTCCGTAATGTTATGGCAAAGACTGCCATAAACTTAAGAATAGCCTCAGAGAGTCTTACTCACTTTTCAGCCTGCACTTGAGACCAGTATTTTCAGAGATAACAGGTCTCAGAGCATGCTAGTGAGACAGGACTCGGTGTT